CCCCGTTTCCTAATTTCATCTCGATAAGATGTATTGATTTTTATCCACGAGCAAGAAATGTCCCCAGATTTGATTTCAGAAATCTGGTCACCTTAAGTGAGGCTAACCGTATGCAGCAAGGCTAACTGCGTGTAGCTAGGCTAACCGCATGCAGCTAGGGTAACTGCATGCAGCGAGGCTAACTGCGTGCAGCTAGGCTAACCGCATGCAGCTAGGCCAACTGCATACAGCTAGGCCAACTGCGTGCAGCGAGGCTAACTGCGTGCAGCGAGGCTAGGCTTTATTCTGCTTTCCCTGCCTCCTTTTCAAAGGTCAGGATCCGAGCCAGCTTGGATAAAGACAGCTAGGACTGATTTAAAGCACTTTGTAAAAAAGGCAAAGAAGACTTAACAATCTGGGATTCACATGAATAACAATAGAATATAGTCTATTTTTTCTAGATGTTTGTTCATTTGCATATAAAGCTGACTAATAGCTACTCCATCATTACAGTGTCTGCCTCTACAGTGCAGATATTTTTATATCTAAGGGAAACATATTCCAGGACATTAAAACTTTTTACTTAATACACTCTTTTTATATTGTCTATCATATTTTTATCTTTAATGGCACATTGCTTTAACTCTTTGTACTCTATATAAACTACTGGAACCAGAATTTCCCTGAAGGACTAAGCCCAAGGGATAAATAAAGTTGAGTCTAAGTCTATTAAACTGGTACATTATTTTTTTAGGTTTCTGACACAGTATTGGACCATGCAAAACACAGATTTACCTTCAAAGCCTCAGAAGGGCAGGATTTATGGACAAAAAGTAAACCTAATGATGTTTTGTTTTTATAAAGTGCTTTTATGTTTTTTATTGTTGGCATTCATATAAATATTTGATAACTTTGAATTGTAATAACTTAGTATACTTGTGACGTTTGACCACATGTTCAGAAAGGTCCAAACAGACAGCAGCAAACCATTTGAAAACAAACCATGCAAAGAGCAGTGCTGCTAACTTAGCGCTTTAGTCGCTATATTTAGCCACTTTTCAGACCCCTCTAGCACTTTGATTTCTAAAAAGCTCCTAGCGCCAAATCTAGAGACTTTTTTCTGCTACTGGAGACTTTGGAGACAACATCTAAAAGCAGCGAACTCTGCTCTCCAGAGCGAGTAGATTGGTAACCCCGCCTCCTGCTCTCCTCTATCTTGTCTGCTGTCATGATTCATGCAGCTATTATTTCATCCAAATGAAAAATGGAGAACAGAGAAGCAGATCATGGCTTGTCTACAGTGAAAAGAGGGACTGGGTTATTTACTTTGGCCTTTTTGGAAACACAGGAAGGAGCAATCAGCTAAGTGAGCTTAGTGCTTGGAAAAAATCTTTCATTCCTTTAGAGACAGCATGAAAAGTCAGCTGAGTACAAAACAGAGAGGAAAACAAGAAGAAAAGGGACAAGAAGAGAGGGACACAACCTAGAACAGATAATGGATGTCTATTCTATTAACATTTCTCTATCTGTAGAATGGGGCTGTTTATGTGTTGTCTGCTCAATTCAGAGGGGCCCCCTGCCTGTCTTTGCCTAGGGCCCAAGATTTCCTAAATCCGTCCCTGGTCTGAACAGTCAGTCAACTGAGTTCACTATAAAGTGCACTATATAGTCCGTGCTCTAAATAGTGATTACGCCTCTGCTTAATATTTATTTCCAAAACTCAGTTATAGTTTGAATGGACTGTGTAAAAGTTGGACCGGACCTTTATAAACACCCAAACCTCACAGAGGTTTGGGTGTTTATAAAGACACAATATCATCAAAGATTGATTCAGCAGCCTTGTGTATTTTATCTTAATTATATAAATTTTTTCTTTCAAAGTAGCTGTTTTCATCTCCATCTGGTGTTTAAGCTAAGATCTTTATAAGCTACTCTGTTTTTAACATTTGATAGTGCTTTTGACTCCCTGTTCAAAACACTGTGAACCATCAGAGCAGCAGTTTAAAGAGTGTGAGTGCGTTTACTGCTAACCAGGCCGTCTGAAGTGGGCTCTTTAAAGACGCAGGTGTTTATCTTGGTAAAATGACTCTTTGTGCAGGATTGGTTATACTCCTTTGAAAAACAGCCTTTAGACTCAACACGCATAAAATGTTGAGCATGGAGCTGTGCAGACACTACATAATCAGAGAGTTATGAGAAAGCTTATTGCTGTGAGATGCAGCTGGGACTTGAGATACGGGTCTGAGGTGGAGGTGGGAGGATCAGGTTATTCTGACCACGGCCATTTTCTCACACATCTTCTTCTGTTGTGCATGTGTGTCCGTTAGCAGGATATCTGACCTGTCTGGCCTTGAGGCGGTGGGGCTGATAAGTCACTTTACTTCCCCTCAGCCTGACATCCGTCCAAAACATTCCCATATGACCCTATTCACCCTAATATGGATGTATATATATATATATATATATATATATATATATATATATATATATATATATATATATATATATATATATATATATATATATATATATGTATGTGTTTCTACTTACAGATCTTGTGTGTTTCTCCCCCCTCCACATGGTATACTGCATTCTTTCATGCTCTATCAGCACCACAAGGTCAGTTTGGTTTGCCAGCACCTGTTTGCCAGTCTGGATGTTGACGTCAGGATCTGATCTATTATTCTCCATCCCTCATTGACTGGATGACCTTCAGCCCATAGCCGTTCATTAAATCAGCTGCCAGTAAAATCATTTAAATTTTATAAAGTGATAATAAATTAAAATGATTAAAAAAGGAAATCATTATATATATATATATAAATATGTATTATATATATATATATATATAATACATATTTATATATATATATATATATAAAATACATATTTGTATATTAATAAATAAAACAACTGAAGAAGCATGTTCCTGAACTAAAATTTTGTTTTAGAAACATTTTGAGGCTGAAAATCCCTGAAATCAGGTTTTTTCTGTAACTTTCAGGAAACGTTCGCAGCTCCTGACAGCTATAAATATCTTCATTTGTCTGGGAGACACACTTTGTTTTTTAGAATAAAAAAAAAAAAAAATCTTCAAATAAATCAATATTTTATTTTCTAAATTTGTGTTTTTTTTATTTCTTATTACTTTGGTCAGATTTGTGTTATTTGAATTTATCATTTTCTTTAATGGGAGTACGGGTTAGTAAACTTTGAAGCACTACTGTATATAGATCTGACGTATATATAAACTATAGTGTGAAATACATAAATGTAAATTTCTAATAATATAAATTAAAGCAACATGAAAGCGGCAGTAAAACAGACATATATATGTATCTATTCAGAACTACTGAAGTGGAAATGTTTTAGTTTCACCTGGTTTGATTTCATAAAAAAAAATTCATTAAGGAACCTTTTGCTATGTGATTAATAATTATTATATTGAATAATAATCGACAGATTAATCAATTGCAAAATAATTGTTAGTTGCAGCCCTAAATTATTTATTAATTGATTTCTTTATGTGCTAAATTTTTCGATATTAAACGTCACTGCTACAACTTCTGGAACAAAGTGATGAAGAATTCATCACTTTTTTTCATCAATTTTTTATTTTTTTGGTTAGGTTCACAAGACAGTTCTTATAATTATTGCGATGTGATCCCTGAGATAAACGGAGGGCCAAAACAAAATAAAATAACGAAATAATTAAATGTAATCAAAAACGCATTTATTTGAAAAGAAATATAATTACGTCAATCTACATGTTTAAATATTGCGTTACATAGTAATTACTAAAACTAATGTTAAATCCTTCTACAGGACAAAACAGATTATTTAAACTCTTTTTTTTAACGATTCAATATATTTAATGTATGGGAAAATGTCCTCATGTAACAAAATAATTGAATTTGCTGCCGGTCCCTAAATGCCAGCACTCCCAGGGGTGGGCCACTAACGGTTCTACTAAATGACATCACATCTCCTGCTAAACCAGTAGCAAAACTCAGATGCAATAATACCTTTTTAACCAGAGGAGGGCGCCAACAGATCCTTTTAAACAGAAGAAGGATTTCAACCACGGTGCAATAAATGCCAGGGACACGTAGATGGCACTATAACTCGTGTTTTACGCAGGGCAGAGCTAGATGGGGGGCCAGGGGTGGCCATGGCCAATCATTGGCCAACTCTGTGGCCACTTTTACCATATTCCCCTCTAATACAGACTGTGGCAGCAGTAATACTCTGAAGTGGAATGTTTTAACTTATTTAACGTTTAATTTTTTTAAATTTCACCAATTATTTGACAACAAAAACTCTGTGGTTAATGATGCACATTGATATACTAACATTAAAGATGATAAATACAGAATTCATGCTCTTTTCAGAGCATCACATGATGTCTGTGCAAATCATCTAAGAGTCTTCAGATTAATAACTACTTTAATAATAAGTAACATTTAATTTTGATTTAATGCAGAATGATTATTGATAGAGTAGGTAAGTAATGACAATGAATAAGATGTTCGCCCCAGAACTAAAACCTGAAAGAATTTTATCCAATAGACCTTTAATTTAGACGCCATGGATGTTTAAATATATGCATCTATTTGTTAGCAAAGGCTGTAGGAAAGTATAGATAGTCTTTATTTAGAAAATATGAATGTTTTGCTCGTTCATTTTCCTGTTGGAACAGTATAGATTAACCCTGAGGTTCTGGCGCTGATCCGCTTTCTGCCCCCCCTCAGTGTACATTGGTTAACGCCTGGACACAATTATTAAAATTTTCTGGCTAAGTCTCTGGTTTTACGCCATACTTACCACAAATATAAATGTGAGGTTTTAGCCTCAGGGAGGGATTGATATTCTAAGGTGAATGGGAGGCATCTCCATCAGTTCTTAAATGTTGTGAACACACTGATCCATTGCACCTTTTCTACTAGGACCTATTTTTGGATTCAAATAACAAATTAATTTTAAGCACTAATGAAATCGATTTTTCCACGCTGTGTTTTTAGGTACCTGGCCAAGCTGTCATCTGTGGGGAGCATCAGGGATGAGGAGACATGTGAAAGGTTACGAGGCCTCATCCAAAGACAGGTAAGCTACACGCTACAGCTACGTCATACATGCGCCGCTTCGTTTTTAAAAGATAAAATATAAAAAATCTAACGGCGGATGTCTGGGGGACAGTGATTGGCCTCCATGTTCTGAATGCTGGCGTACCATAAAGAATAAATGATGAACAGTTTAGTTTGTGCCTTCAAGTCGTTGCCCATAGGAAGACGTTACTTGGATATAACCTAACGGAATATCTTCAGAACGGCTCCAAATGACACTAAACTCATATGGGTGAGTAAAACATGATGGAATAACGAAAAATCAAGGGACCAATGGAAAAAAGTGGCGTTTACCTTTAAGGATTTAAGAATTGCAAACAGTAGTTTTTTCTTTCTTTTTTTTCTGATGCTTTAAAATCAAAACAGTAATACCTTTAAAAACACCAGCTTGAAAGAACAACGCAGTATTGTTCATTTTAGCAGGCATTTTTAAATTTAGTTTTAGTCCAGTTTCAGTATCGCTTGTTAGTTTTTATCACATTTATTCGACATCATCACATTTTTATGTAGTCTAGTTTTAGTCGACTATAAGTCAGAGCATTTTAGTCTTTATTATAGTCCAAGAAAACATTATTTTATTTGTTTAGTTTTAGTCAACAAAACCGTCAACATTTTAGTCTAGTTTTAGTCTGGACATAATTTTAACCTTTTACTTTTTTGTCAGCAGATAATATTTAACATTTCCTAAAATTATATCACATTTCTTTAACTAAAGGTTAACCCACTGCTATGGTTCAGTCTATGGTTCTTAAATAAACCTTCTACAAAGAAAATTAAAGTTTAGGTTATGAATGTAGGTCGTTTCTGATAGATTTTAGGCCAGATTTTAGCTACCCAGACCCCCCCCACTCCCACACACACACACACACACACACACCCACACACTGCATAATGCATTGATAGTGGAGGATCCATGTGTCCATTTAGCGTTCATAACACAAGCAGCAAAGAAAACTAAATCATGACTCAATGTTCCATCTCCATCAGTTCTTCACTTTTGGACACAACATGTGTTTTATCAATGCAGTGCTATAGAGCAAACAGCAATTTCCACACTTTAAGAGTAAAGCAAATAGTTGAGTTTCTTCAGATAACGAGTGCACTGCGGTTGTGTTCTAGGTCCAGATCTGTAAACGCAGTGTGGAGGTGATGGATGCAGTTCGTCGTGGAGCCCAGTTGGCTATAGACGAGTGCCAGTTCCAGTTTCGGAATCGTCGATGGAACTGCTCAACTTTGGAAACCATGCCCGTGTTTGGCAAAGTAGTGACCCAAGGTACGGTTATACCTTGCAGGAACTGCAGGGGTCTCCCTACACAACATTAATCAACATTTCTGCCTATTATTATTTTTTATTTGTAATTATTGTCTTTCTTCAGGATGTAGCAATCAGAGTGCTTTTTTCATTTGTATAACATGTTTTGTGTGCCCCTGTGTTTTCCTACGTGTGTCAGGCACCCGTGAGGCAGCCTTTGTATATGCGATCTCAGCAGCCAGTGTGGCATTCGCGGTCACAAGGGCCTGCAGCAGCGGAGAGCTGGAAAAATGTGGCTGTGACCACAATGTGCATGGAGTCAGTCAGGAGGGTAGGTCTCTGCAGTGCTTTCACACATGGAGAGGGAACAGAAAGGCCAACACCATTTTCTCTAAAAAAAAAATTAGATTAAGGCCGTTTCTCAGTTCACAGGAACACGAGTACAAACTTATGTTCTTGACACGTAGCCTATGTTCTCGAGAAGAACCCAGGAAAGTCTGGACTGTGGGAGAACGGGAGCACGCAGAATAAATCTGGATCGATTGGAAGAGAAGCGTACTGATGACATCACCACATTCAAAGCTAGTCTGGAGCTACATTTCATCTCCTGTTATTAATAGTCTCTAGATAATAATAAATTATGACTTTTTTTCATTTAGTGGAGGAATAATAATTAGCACAGTCAGATAAACACAAATCAAATGAACATTTTGCCAAATAAAACAATTAAACCTCCATCAGAGCCAGCGATACCTAAATAACGGCTATGCAGAGAGAGGGTTGCAGCAGACGGGCTAACATTAGCCCTGGCTGCTGCAGACGGGCTACCGTTAGCCCTGGCTGCTGCAGACGGCCTAACGTTAGCCCTGGCTGCAGCAGACGGGCTACCGTTAGCCCTGGCTGCTGCAGACGGGCTACCGTTAGCCCTGGTTGCTGCTGACGGCCTAACGTTAGCCCTGGCTGCAGCAGACGGGCTACCGTTAGCCCTGGCTGCTGCAGACGGGCTACCGTTAGCCCTGGCTGCTGCAGACGGGCTACCGTTAGCCCTGGCTGCTGCAGACGGGCTACCGTTAGCCCTGGCTGCTGCAGACGGCCTAACGTTAGCCCTGGCTGCAGCAGACGGGCTACCGTTAGCCCTGGCTGCTGCAGACGGGCTACCGTTAGCCCTGGTTGCTGCTGACGGCCTAACGTTAGCCCTGGCTGCAGCAGACGGGCTACCGTTAGCCCTGGCTGCTGCAGACGGGCTACCGTTAGCCCTGGCTGCTGCAGACGGCCTAACATTAGCCCTGGCTCCTGCTGACGGCCTAACGTTAGCCCTGGCTGCAGCAGACGGGCTACCGTTAGCCCTGGCTGCTGCAGACGGGCTACCGTTAGCCCTGGCTGCTGCAGACGGCCTAACGTTAGCCCTGGCTGCTGCAGACGGGCTACCGTTAGCCCTGGCTGCTGCAGACGGGCTACCGTTAGCCCTGGTTGCTGCAGACGGGCTACCGTTAGCCCTGGCTGCTGCAGACGGGCTACCGTTAGCCCTGGCTGCTGCAGACGGGCTACCGTTAGCCCTGGCTGCTGCACACGGGCTACCGTTAGCCCTGGCTGCTGCAGACGGCCTAACGTTAGCCCTGGTTGCTGCAGACGGGCTACCGTTAGCCCTGGCTGCTGCAGACGGGCTACCGTTAGCCCTGGCTGCTGCAGACGGGCTACCGTTAGCCCTGACTGCGATTTGCCTCGGAGCTCTGCTGGTTGCCCCAGTACTTTTTTTTTTAACTTTTTTTAAAATAATGCACTAAATTAGTCAATGGGCCATATAGTGAAGCTTAAAGTATAATGTTCTCTATTTGAGGTCTTCAACAGGGGGTCCGCGACCCCTAGGGGATCCACAGAGGTACTGCATGGAGGTAGTGAAAGTTTTGGTTGATTAGACTGTTTTTTATATTCCCTCCTGCATTTTTTTTCCTACTAATTGAAATGTCTTTAATTCCACATGAACATGAATTCAACAGACTGTAGTAAACAGATAAATGGAGGCAGAAGATGTCTTTCAGTCATCAATGCTCACATTCAGCGACACACAGGAGCTCTTTCAAGCTGGACACCGTTTCATTCACAACACCTGTCCCATCAACCAGGAATCAGAAATACTTTAATAATCCCAGGGAGGGATTACTTTAGTTACATTACTCCATCTGTAATAGAGTGACTATAGGACCAGTTTGATAGAACACTATTTCATACAATCTATATAATTAGTGGGTCATCAGATTGGGGGTCCTGGCCTGGAAAAAGTTGAAGACCCTTGCCTTTAATGATCTTAAAACGTACTTTAATTGAACAACTGCAACAGAAAAGAGAAAAACATCCAGGGACTTTGTCCGTTCTCCGTCTGCTGTTATTGTGAATTGGAACGGTACTACGGCTGAGGATGATGATGTTTCACAAGGACACACAAGTACACAGATTGAGAAACGGCTAAAATGATGAGACAGCTTGAGGAATAATTCATAACCTTATAAAACTAAATCCATTATACCACCCACATGAACTACTGCAGCAGATAACCTGCTCCTGTGCATCTTTCTGTGTTTTCCAGGTTTCCAGTGGTCAGGCTGCAGTGATAACATTGCGTATGGAGTGGCTTTCTCTCAGTCTTTCGTGGATGTCAGAGAGAGGGGTAAAGGCCAGTCTTCTAACCGCGCCCTCATGAACCTGCACAACAACGAAGCTGGGAGAAAGGTGCTCATTCCTTAAGATCTTTATATATGAGATATAGTTATTCCCAAACAGTTAAAATGTCAGAAATGTCCCAACAAAGCCTCGTTTTTGCTTAGAAAACATGCAAATTGAAACTGACGAACGGGTCCACCCCTTTGGAATCGGGGTCGTTTGGCTTCTTTTGCTTCTTTTTGCTCAACGCTATTTCTGACATTTTGAATCGAGAAACGTCTTCAAACTTGGAAACAAAGTCCAGTGGATTGTTTTTTAACTTTTTTGCAATGACTATGACCTGGATGACTGAGAATCTACACAAACAACATTTCTGTTTTGTTTTGGGGGGATCGTACCTTATGGTGTTTCAGTTCCGTTATAGGAATACAGAACATTACATTTTTCCTTGATAACAATTTTATACCTATATGGAGTAAACCAGGGTTTTTTGCAGGTCACCAAAAATCCTTAAATGTGATTATCATGGGATTTAAAATGCTTTATTTAAAAAAAAAAAAGTTTCTAAAAACTATTTGGTCAGATATATTATATGAGATGTAACTGGTTCCGCGTTTTTGTATGGAAAGCCGTTTGCTCGGAAAAGAAGCTTGAGGCGGAGAAAAAGCTAGAGAATGGAAAAATGCAGATTTCAACAAAAGTAGCTGGAAAAAAAGGAATTCCGGACATGGCTGCAGCCTGTTGACGGTAAAGATGACCAACCATTTTGCCATATTTATATATATATAAATATATACATATATATTATATATATACCGGTTCGATTCACGGTTTCTGGTCACGGTTTTCGGTTCAATTCGATACATGTTGATTGTTACACCGAAATTCCATAAAAAATTATGAAATTAATGAAAAAATCTCCCCAAAAATAATAGATTGTAATTATTTTAAATGATCCGCGGAAACCCTGGATCATTTCCGTATGTTTTGCTGCTTTGAATTTAATCATCTGGCGCATGCTCTCTAACCTGACAAGGAACTCAGAGGGGAGCAGACGAAGCCACAGTGGGGGCTGTAGGCTTTGCTTTGAGCAGCTGGTCTGGAGCGCAGCGGGGGTTGCTGACGGAGTATGAGGGATTTCGGGGTTAGCATGACATGTTGCTGTTAGAATAAACAAAACGTGTTGCACAATGCTTGCACACTGTTGCACTTTTATCCACAACTTTCTTTCCGCCGTCATCGTAGGTCACTCTAAATGCAAAGCGCTCCCATACAGCAGACCTATAAAGTGCTGCTGGCGCGTCTTCCAACTCCTGTTCTTTCCCACTCGCCATACCCACACAATTCTCCACAACAACTGATTGTTTTCTGCTACACCCGGCTACGCTGCTTCGCTTCTTCTTCTTCTTGTTTACTACTGGTGGTTGGCTTTGGTCGCAGTACCGCCACCTTCTGCTCTGGAGTGTAAACGCTTCGCCTATGAGAAAAAGGAGCAGCGCATGAACCGAACGCAACACACGCAAACCGAACCGAGACAGTCGAACCGAACGGTTCGGATGGTTTTCATAAACCGTCCCATCCCTAATATATATATATACATATGTATATATATATATATATATATATATATATATATATTTTTTTTTTTTTTTTTTTTTTTTTTTCTAAGATCATTAAAAAGCAATAAATTAGAGTTACTCATCCCTGTATAAACCCTGTAAACCTTAGAGGTCAGAGTTTAAAGAACCTTGTTTTTGTTCAGTATTTTCCCTTTAAAGGTGCGTAACACATCTCTAACTGTCTCCGCAGGCCATCCTGTCCCACATGCGTGTGGAGTGCAAATGCCACGGTGTGTCAGGTTCCTGCGAGGTGAAGACCTGCTGGAAAGCTATGCCACCATTCCGCAAGGTGGGCAACATCATCAAGGAGAAGTTTGACGGCGCCACAGAGGTGGAGCAGCGCAGAGTGGGCTCTACTAAAGTCCTGGTGCCTCGCAACTCTCAGTTCAAACCTCACACTGATGAAGACCTGGTCTACCTGGAACCCAGTCCGGACTTCTGTGACTATGACCCGCGCACGCCGGGGATGCTGGGCACAGTGGGGCGCCAGTGTAATAGAACGTCGAAGGCCATCGATGGCTGCGAGCTGATGTGCTGCGGCCGTGGCTTCCAGACGCAGGAAGTGGAGGTTGTAGACAGGTGTAGTTGTAAGTTCCACTGGTGCTGTTATGTGAAGTGCAAACAGTGCCGCAAAATGGTGGAGATTCACACTTGCCGGTGATGCGAGAGAGGAAGCGGGCGCATCTGATGGACGCAAAACAAATGCCCAATACTCCTCCTTATTGACAAGCCAGAGAGAACAAAAAGGTTCGCAAATCTCCCTCTTCTGCTTTGAAACCATCCCACCCTCCGACTAGAGCGCCAGGCAGTGATCTGGTTGGATCATCAACCAGATCCATCCTGCTGTTTTAATGGCTAATTCCAGCGAGGAAACAAAGACTATTCCTTAAGAAGGACACCTTCTAACACCCCGCCTCCCTCATGCTCCCATTTGGTTTGTCACTGATGCCTTCTTATTATTATGTTTAACTTATTTGTTGAGACTGAGGAGATTGACAGAGCGTGGACACAGCGGAGGCGAGTCGGGATGATTATGACAGATTTGGAGCTGCAAATAGTCAGTGGAGGGTGGAGTTGGGATCTGAAGGAGGGCCGCCTACTGTGCTTGATTCTGCTGCTGATTCCAAGACTCAATCGGAGAGCGGGATGTCAAAAAAGGGACAACACAGAGGAACAAATATAGATCTTTTGTGGTTCACTAGGTGCGGTAAATTCCAGCTAGCCACGAACCTTTGACGTTGCCCAGAGAATACCCCCTGATGTAGACACGCCCACTGGATTCTTCCTCCTACAAGGAGGATGATGATTATGTTGATGACGGTGATGGAGAGGAAAAAGCCACTTTCGTCTCCTTCTGGTTTGTTTCCCAGTACTGGCAGTTCATGTAATCTCACAGATATAACAGATACACATAGTAGGGGTGTAACAAGATGTCGTCCCATAAAATCTTGATATTAAAACACTACAGTATTCCTCATCTAAGAAACGTATCTGCTGTCTGCACGGGACTAAAGAGGGCTAAATGTGTCAGCTTGGGTTCTGAACACGAAGGGGAAAGTTTATTTTGAATTAAGGAAATCCTTCTTGAGCTAGTTTTGTTAACAAATTTGAAAAATAAAAACTTATGATTAGGGTTTACCAGAAGACTCCATTACAAAAGTGTCCAATAGAGCGTTATTTAAACCTTCCTACGTGCATCTGTTCATGGAAAGGAAAGAAAACTGCAAAGAAGGAACCAAGATGCAGATGATTTTGTAGCACTGTGAGAACACTGTGATTGGCTAACACTGACTGCACTAAAGTTAACATTTCCCTTTCAATTAAATTCTATTCAGTTTATTTCTATAGCTCCAATTCACATCATGTCATCTCAGGTCACTTTCCAGTTCACCAGATCATCCAGTCAGATTGATTCAAAGTTTTCTATCTAAGGAAAACCAGCTGATTGCATCGACTCATTGACTCTTCAGCAATCCCTCACACTAAGCATGCTTGTAGCGACAGTGGAGAGGAAAAACTCCCTTTGAACAGGAAGAAACCTCCAGCAGAACCAGGCTCAGTGTGAGCGGCCATCTGCTGAGGCCCACTGGGGTTCAAGGAGACAGAAGCAGAGATAGAAAAAGAAGCACAGATACAAAAGCCTTTGAGATGCTAGAATTGCTAAGCTAAAGCCGGGTTCAAAATGGCTGAAAACCTGAAAACCTCTAATGAGTAAGGACACTTAAGCCTTGGACAGGCTCGGACTGGGAACCATTTCCAGCCCTGGCATTTTTCCATCTACACCGCCCCTCACGCATCGCCGGAAAAAACATAGAAGCACAGTCAAACGTGTGCGTCTCAAACACAATACGAATACACATTGTGGATTAACGGATCGATCTTCAGGCATCACACAAAAACCATCTCCAAGACTTCTATAATGTGGTTTTACTGGCTTTGGTTATCAACACGGACGCCACAGTGACCGCTGCCGCGTAACGTCCACACTAACCACATCAGCAGGGTCGCCAGATATCACTGACTCACGTTTTCCAGCCCAAACCATGTTCATAAACCGCCTGGATTTACGAAATCTCGCCCAATTTGAAACAAAGTCTATTGACCTCTAAGGCCATACGTCTAAAGAAAAAATTTTTTACCCATAGACGGCCGTCCTAAACTGCCAGAATGGGAAATATCCAACCTTGCAACAATGAACGTAAGACAGGAAACACTACCCTGCAGATGCAAAACCCCATCATGCACCGGAACATATTTTTGCTAAATATTCTAACATAAAATCGCCAAATATAAAAGGAACATCGTACTTTGGTTTAAAGAAAGCATTTTAGTTTTATTATAATTTAGTTTTTTGCAAAGATTTTACAGTTTGAAGAAACAGAAAATGACACCATATGCCAACATGACAAGGAAGGGCTATAAATACTGCCTGCATCATCCAAGTAGTAAATATTGTATTCCTTTTTGAGCTCCTTGAGTTATTTACTGTCACAGGTAGTTGCTTCAGCTGGAGAGTTAGTGTTAGGAGGGCCGGAACCTCGCACGCTGAAACTAGGACCGGCCCACCGGGCAAATGGCCGCCATCACAGATGACCAGTCCGAGCCTGTACCTGTAGGAGCAACATTATACAGTTGTCTGTAATCCTTTGCCTGACAGGACGTATAGGTAAAGCCCAGTTCATGGAGTTTAAAAAAATACTCTATTTCCTTAGCACTGCACTACATTTGTCTAAAAAAATGTTCTGCCAATGGAATGAGCAATTTTCCTCTTAAAAAGATAAGCAGTTATTAAGCACTTGAACCAAGACAATGCAATTGTTTTTTTCTTATTTTAAATGTAAATTGTTTTATTCCTTTGGCAAAGTGTCTCATTTACGTACTTATTTTTTTTGTTTTAGTCTTGTAATGACCTCCAGAAGGCTGCAGGCTATCCGGGTTCAGCAGGGTCCAGTTCAGAGCTCCTTTCCTTTCCTACATGGTGTTCTTGCTGCTGGTTCAGTGAGAGATGAAGGGATAGGAGCTATGAACAGGAAGGAGAGGTTATAATTTCAGGTATTTGATCGAGGCACCGTCTAACCACATAATGCTAACGAGTAGCATTCAGGTTTAGTTCTACACATTGGCCGTTTCTCAATCTGTGTACTTGTGCGTCCTCGTGTTCTCGTGAAACGTCATCATCCTCAGCCCTAGCACTGTTCCAGTTCACAAGAACAGCAGACAGACAACGGACAAAGTCCCCAGGTGTTGTTCTGGCCCCTCCCTCTTTACCCAGCATGCATCAGAGCAGACTTGTCCGTTCTCCAGACTGACAGCTGTCCCAGCATGCACTGCGGCAGCAGCAGCTTCCAGGTTAGCGCTCACAGAGCTCAGAGGATTAAGTTAAAAGTTCTCTTCTCAGTTGCTGTTGTTCAATAAAAGTACTTTTTAAGATCATTTGAGGCGAGAATATTATTCTTTTTTTTTATGGCACTAGTGGCTCGTTTTTTGACAGTAGTCTGACAGGACAAAGAACCACAGGTCCGATTCGAACCCGGGTCGGCTGCAGCGAGGACTGAAGAGCTGGTTATCCTCCCTCAGCAGTGTGTCGCAGATATTTTTGATTTATGCCCAATATAGAAGCGTGGTCTGCGCTATGTTATTCCACACCACAACGCCAGAGGGCCAATCAGGAACTAGCTGTGGGTCTAGATACGGCCGAGGCGGTGAGGAAGTGGGGGCACGACATGAGGGCCAAAAAGAGCGGGGATCCGGGTAGAAGGGTCCCAACATTCTCGGTGTTCTAGCTGCTCCGTCTTCACCAGTCGTTTTCCACAATGGAGGTCAGACAAATACGTATCTGCGTTCACTGCAAAACACACGCAGACCACCTGTTTTCTGAACATAGGCCAGCCTTGAGGCCTCCATACATGGGTTGTACATGCTAACCACTGCGCCACCAAAGCACGGCCAAGAACATTATACTTTTAGCTTCACTATATGGCCCATCTTCTAATCTAATGCATAATTTCAAAAAAAGTTCCGAAGTTCAGAGGACTGTGGCAACCAGTGGACCTCCAAGGCTAACCGTGGCTAGGGCTAACGTTAGCCCGTCTGCAGCAGCCCTCTCTCTGCATAGCTGTGTGTGAAGGACCACTGGCCATAGTGAGGGGCCATTTGACAAAATGTTCATTTGATTTGTGTTTATCTGACTGAGTTCATTATTATTCCTCCACTAAATGAAAAAAGTCATAATTTATTATTATCTAGAGACTATTAATAACAGGAGATGAAATGCAGCTCCAGACTAGCTTTGAATGTGGTGATGTCATCATTACGCTTCTGTTCCAGTTGACCCAGATTTATTCTGCGTTCTCCCGTTCTCCCCCGAATCTAGACTTGTCTATGTTCTAGTCAAGAACAGACTTGGCGAGAACACAAGTCTGTACTCGCGTTCTAGTGAATTGAGAAACGGCCATCATCAATCTGGGGGAAGTAGATTCAGTAGAGCTGATTGGGTGAAGGAAGGGAAACCTAGTGCTCGCCTACCAGAGTTTGGTTTCAGCCAATCAGTGAAAAAAAGGAACTAGCAACAAGCACCATGAGAAACAACATCTTCCGCTTTTACGATCTTGCTGGTTCTCTTTAAGAGATTAAATTTTGGATTTTGAACAATATGATCTGTGCCGCCATATTTATGTCCCGCCTTAACCCATAACCCGGCAACATGATTGGCCAATACGTTTTGGAGAAAATGCTGAATAGCAAGCGGGTCATGGTGGATCTTTGTGTGTTTTATGACCCACAAATAACACAAGAATTCAACTTTTAGGCAGGTTTTCACAATGTTCAGTGTCTGAGCTTAAATGGACGTTCTCTGTTGACAGATGCACTGAATGCTGATCTCTCACTACCGAAGACGACCTGTGGTTAATATCATGCGGCGGTCCAAGATTGTCCCAGGCAAACAGTGCAGTGTGCAGCATCTTATTCCTTTAATCCCATTTTGCACAGAAACAGACATCTTTTTTTTCTCTCTCCAAACTTTCACAGTACAACTTCAGTAATAAGTGCAGGAAAACCAGTAACTTTCCATCCAGGCAGACTGCAGAGACAAAGAAACAAAACAGAGACTCCTAATCTCCTTCTAGAAATAGCCTAAAACTTAATCCTCACAAACCAAATATTGAGCATTGTCTTGTTTCATGGCCTGATGTATTGTTACACCCCTAATGTGCAACAAACCATTTGCCTGTGTTCATCCATAAATGTCCAGGACACCTGGAACGGTAACCAGAATACATTTATAATGATTTATTATTCCAGAATA